GACACAATTTAGAATATCTTATTTAAATGAGAGGAAGCGTTGTCGTAAATTTAAATGAGTTTATAGGGAGGCCTAAATATATATTTTTGTATCCAAAGCTCACTAAAAAACATTATTTTCATAAGCGTCAGTTCGAAGAACTAATCCAAATACTGCATTAAACAATAAGAAACGCCAACTTGAATAGGATCTTGGAAGTGAAATGGGAACTAGTTGTAGCGAACTAAGGCTATCCGATTTTTAGTTGGGAACTACGAATTTGAGTACTAATACAATAGATTCTTCAGACACAGACTTTAGACTTTAACTGAATTAAATTCTCATTATGGCAAGCGCTAACATGAAAAACAAAACTTAAGTTTACCGTATTTGTATTAAGAGATAGTAAGGATATCTTTGGCACGGACATCTGAGAACTGAGAAGCTCGTCAATGCGGAGTTTGATGAAAATATCTTACAAAACGGAATATTTTTCCAAGCAGCTACTTTTCAACCGATCGTTCCAATGGTAGCTAAATGATATAGTGGTCCGATCTGGCCAGTTCGATTATATATGTACTGTCTGTAACAGAATGAAGGGTATATGCAAAGATTAAAGGCGGTAGCTTTAAAACTGAGAGACTAGTTTGCATAGAAATAGACAGGACTGACGGACATCTAGAATATATATAGATTATCAAATCGGAGATGTTTCCTTCTTTGAAAAAATCTACCCCCTACAAGGGTATAAAAACGAATATTACGAACTGATTGTAGATCAGTATATAAAATACTTCTAAATAAATATAATCTACTCATGATTAAGGTCTACAATGGAACAATACATTTTATGTTTATTCATAAACAACATTTTAGAAAGTTTTTCGAGAAGCATACCCGATGAGAATTTATAACAATTTCCACAAAGATCATGTGCATTCCTTTGTGCTTGTGCTATCAAATCTCTAGTAAGACAATATATTAATGAATATAAGACACACACAGCTCTCTGTTATGAATTAATGGCAAATAATTATCAATCATTGCTTATTTAAATAATTTCAGACTTGAGCTGATAGACTTTATATGCGCTGGGTTGAGTCTATTTAGTTTGTTTAAATATATAAACGTGTTTTTATGAATATCACAAATATCTCTAGGTAAATTTCCTAAAATATGCTTTTACTGTCTGATCAAACAAAACGCAACCATCTTTTTATATCTTTCGCTTAACTGTGTTTTTGTTTTGTTTTGTTGCACAGTCTGGACGGTTAGCAAAGATGACTTTCCGGTCAGGCGGGTTTATCATATACATATATATATATGTATATATGCACTGGCTCTTCTCTTTATTATTGTTTATTGTTTTCCATTTCCAGAGATTGCCTCGCTTTCAGTTGAGTATTTATAGATTTCATTTGCATTTTATGTTTTCTACACAATGCCCAACGGACGCGCCCTTACCAAATATTAAGAAAAAGGCTTTTTTATATATATGCCTATTTAAAATTTGTAAAAGCCTAGCCAGTAAATAAGATGTCCCGCAGTTTTATGGACTTTCTGTGACCTTGACCTAATAACCTACTTACGGCAGACGCTACAAAAAGGAAAACACAGGAAAATCAACAAAAATTAGATAGTTAAAACTTAGCTATAAACTTGTTTACATTTACATTTCCTAGAGTAAAACCCATTAATTTATGGGAAATTTCAGGCTTTTGTCTACTCAAAAGTCTTCTTGACAAACTGCTTAGCTTTAAAGCCAATATTTTCATATATTTATATTTGTATATATGTATATATATTTATATATGTATATGTTTATGCATGAACGTATGGGTTTCCAACGCCAAGGTTGTTTTTAATCATGCCCCATTTATAGTTAATATATTACTTTTCAAATATATATACACAGCGATAGTGCGAATTGGCATTGCTTTTTTTTAATTATTTGCTATTCGCAATGGCAACTTTGTTTGCTTTAATCTCTGATTTGTGTGTGTCCAATGTCTGAGCTTTCAGAGCTGAGCTCTCTCGACTGCAACTGCAAATTGCGTAGTTTGCAGACCAAATGTAGGACACGATTTCAACTAACTACACAATATACATATATATTTATATATATATATATGTATATGTATATATTACACACATATTTCTGTTGTAACAAAATGCGTAGAACATTTAAACACATAAATTTCTATTATAATTCTGAGTATTTAAACTATATTTTTAAAGTGCGTAGAATATTGATTTGCTTTATCATTATTATAATTCTTGGTATGAGATCTAGTTAGAAAATATTGATCTAGTAAATAGCACAAACTTATAGCTAAACATATACATTAGCCCGGGAACCCGTAATATATCACTCGGACTATAGTTTTGTTACGATTTTTTTAAACGCAATGGAAGTAGGACAATTATATCATGTATATAGTTCCCACTTTTGAACTAAAAAAAAAAACAGTTATATCCTATTGTCTCTGTCATTCGCACATTCCATTAGTGAATATATCATAATTCGTTTTTGGAAAATAAAATAAAGCTGTTTTGGACTCTTCTATTCGATAGTGATATAGCAGAAGTAGCTTGATTCTTGGCAGACTTTGTATTATATCAAAATGATTTAACAACTAACTTTATTCACGCAAAACCGTACATATTTGTTTTCCTAGAAGAATATATGTTAAATGTTTAAGGGAATGCCCTTATACTAATGCATATTTGTCTATCATATTTTTATTAATAATATAGAATAGGTGGAATATAGGTACCAGACTCCATTCTAATGTGCAAAAAATAATAAAAAATATGCTCTATGTTTCATATATGATTTTTTTGATGCGTGTTCTTATACTTTTATTATTTATCCTATTTTTTAAACAAAATCAAATTATTCAAACTGGTTTTTGAACGTTTTAACTTCCTAGTGCGGTATCCATATTTTAAAAGGTTTTATTATTATTAATGTAGGGCTGCTCGAAAAGTTCTATTGTGCCCCCCACTGAGCCTAAGTGTCTATTTAACATTACCTTGGGCTCTTTTGTATGCTGAATATTTATTGAAGAAATACGTGAACAGGTCATTAAACCACAAATTGACAACTGGATACACAAGTCTCTAGCCAAACGATCTACTGACTAACAAATCAATCTACGATCTAGTATCATGAAGGTATTTCGCCCACAATAAGCTGACATTCAGTTCATTTGCAAGGGCCGATCTACATAAACGTTCCATTAGCAACAAAGTAGCAAAGGTAGTTTAACTTTCCATTGCTATTTATATATTCAGCTTTGATTAGATTTTCGATTATAAGTATATTCTGGAGTCTTGCATACAAATATTTCAATCGGTAAATCTGGGCACGCCCTATATATGAAGTAGGTGCAGTGAGTAAAAGATTGTGTTGTTAATTGAAAACTAGATTTTTATGTAAATAGTTTTCAATGCAACTCGCAGTCAACAGTTGGCACTTGCTCTGTTTATCGCACGAGATTTATGTGCGGAACAAGTTATGCTAATCAATATCGAGTGTCTATGGAGAATGCGACCCAGCCCAAGGTGCCAACGGCGGGTGTTCCGCAGGTGGGCAGGCGAAGGTCATTTCAGATCGCTCTCTTCCACTCGGACTGCCCAGAGTTCTATATGCATATATATGGATCTCTTTATGGACTGACTGCACTTGGCAACTGTATCGGGGACCAGGGTGCCAGCTGATGATAACCTCTGACGGTCGATGCCGCTGCTCAATTGAAATGAAACTCGACAGCGACAAGACAAATAATCAAATCGTTGAGTTGCTGCCAGCGAACTAATTTCAATATTTGTCGTCTCTCTTCAAGTGAGAATCAATAAATGAATTGGAAACAACAACCAGAGCTGAAAATATGCCACAATCAATATGCAAATATTTACGAGACGTCGCTCCACATGGTCCAGCCGAGGCGTCCTTCACGTCTAATGGAAATAAGTTTGAATTGAGCATAGCAGAAGACGAAGAAGAAGCACAAGAACGACAACACGAGTTCTGATATTACGACGTAGTTCTCATTTGTACAGACCACAGACAGCAGATATTGATAGCTGTATCGTATTGATCAAGGGAATGGCTACGAAGTCTTTTCAAATATTAAGACTTTTTGGTTAAATTAACAAACCAATATACATATATCCCAGTCGATAAGGTTAGCATCAAGTATTTAATAAAATATTAGAAAATTTATAAGTAATTAGTAGCAGTAAATATAGGGCAGCGACTGATTGCGAATTGAGTCGCTGCGAATTAGAAATTTGTTGTATTCAATGCCCTATATTTCAAGAAACAAAAATTTTATTTTTCGAGAATTTTCGCTATTGATTTTCTGTAATATATATATACAAATTGATTGATCTCTATCAAAATTACCTGTGATGTATAATAAGAGACATATGTATATAAAGATCTTGCAAATTGTAAATTTCTGCGTAAAAAGAGCCTCTTATTTCCGATTGGACTTTAGAATATAATATATTTATATATATATATGAATATATTTAAGACCCAAGTACAAGTACAAATTTGAATTCGAAAATGAAAGTTGAACCTCTAGATCACAGCTGTATATAATTAATGTTATTTCGAATAACAATAAAATTCATACTTTTAATTTGTAAATTTCCATCTGTTTTAGCTAAGTTTTCCTGTTGGAAGTAAACAAAAACCTGTAGCATAAAATCATAATCACAGCATTAAATAATAATTTAAAGTATTAAAAAAACTATGGACATTATGTGGATGAATTATTAAAATTACCAGTTCTTAGAAGAGTGGTATTTGTGTTGGATTTTTCAGAGTTCGAAGCTAAACGAATCATTCATTGAAAATAGCTTTAAAGTTATTTACGATAATATCTTTTTAAACAGAAAGCAGCTCCTTCTTGAATATATTAGTGATAATAATAATAACAATTACTTGAACTAAAAATAATATAGTCAATAAATTAATAATCATATACTTTTTTGCGTTTAATTTTCAGAGTGCCTTCTAGACCAAAAGGCGCTGCATTACATCGACTATGAAACGACAGGCTTCCCACAGCACGTCGATGTGGTGTCGCAGGATATGCTGCCCATTACCAAAGTGCAGGTGACTGCAAATGCCGCTGATTTCCAACATGGCGAGTCGTCTTTGATATTACAACAACTGACGCCGCCTCAATCGCCGCCACATTTCGATGCCCATCAACAGCAGCAGCAGCAGCCGGAGCTGGTCAAGCAGGAGCCGAAAGTGGTTAGTAAACAAATGATATATCTATAGTTTGCAACAAGCCCAATAACACATCTTTTATCCACAGCTGGCATATGCCACGGAAGCTACAACAGGAACAGGTGCTGCTGGTGCGCCCTACGGCTTCAACAACTGGGTGCCGGACAATGAAATCACACGCGAAACCCAATTAGTTGATGACATTGTCAACATGCGCGCCCAAGAGCTGCAGCTGCCCATCAACTGGGAGCAGTACAACGATGACTGCGAATCTCAGGCATCATCATCCCTGGGCAGCAGCAGCAGCAGCAGCAGTAGCAGCAACGGTGACATCAGCGCCGCTGACAGCAGCATTGCGGATGCGGACGAGGATTGGATGCCCGAGAGCAGCAGCAGCTCGCCCGCACACACCATCGGCGAGGAGCAGCAGTCGACATTATCTGCCAGCAGCAGCAGCAGTTCATCTAAGGCCAAAAAGCGAACGCGCACCTATGGACGCGGCGTGGAGGATCGCAAGATAAGAAAAAAAGAGCAGAACAAAAATGCGGCCACACGCTATCGCCAGAAGAAGAAAATGGAAATGGAGCATGTGCTGGGCGAGGAGCAGGAACTGATGCAGGCGAACGAGGCACTGCGTCGCACACTCTCCGAGCGACAGCACGAGTCGCGCTATTTGCGCCAGCTCATACGCGAGTTCTACAGGGAGCGCAAGCAATAGAAACTGTTGCCTCAAGTTCAAAATCATGTTTTCCCCCACACTTAATTTTAATGCTTTTTGCAAAGTTATCGTTATCGTTATTGTCACGTTGTAAATCCCCAGATCCTACCCCGCCCCCACATATAAGATAAACAATATCCCAACTTCACACACTTACCCCCTGCATTCGGCGACAAATGCAAAACCAACATGCCCACAGCTTTAGCTGCCCGTCCTGGCCAGCATTTTGGCACTTATGACAAGTCGCCTCGCAGCGGCTTCGAAACTTTAAGCCAGTGCTGGCCTAGGACAATCCAACAACACAGATTGCCGCACAGGCCAATGTGCCACAATAATTGGCACTCGAATTCAAAGATTTAAAAAAACTTTATCGAAAACCTTATTTGTTCTTAATCACATCATGTTTATAAAACCCTGTGCGGCGGCCGCTAGCTGTGATCATATTTTTTGTTCTTTTTTTTTGCATTTGTTGCCAGAATGCTCTTGACAACTTTGAAATCATTCATTTTATTTTTTAACAATAAACGTTATACAGCATATTATGAGTAATAAACTAAAATGGGTTTTCGAAAAAAAAAAAAACAAAAACTGATTACTTTTTATAATTTTCGGCCACAGAATGGTTTGCACTTGTATTTGAATTTATGCGAATTATGAATGTAATCCTGTGTAACAAATGAAAAGCCACATTATATACGACTAATTGTACCCTGAACTCGAGATGGGCGCAGCTGGCCCAATAGGTTTTATAAAGTTTAGATTTGTTTCAGAGCGAGGAAATCTTTATGATTTAATCTATATATCTATATATAGTTTTATATTTCGTGTGATTAACTTGTGCAGAGAATTAAAACACATAAGGCCCCAAGGTATTAAAGTCCCTTTAGTTATCAGGCTTAAAGATTAAAATGTCTGCTTAATGACTTATTTTAATACCTTTTAGAAATAAAAATTGTCCCGAATAGACAAACAGACGGCTTGTTTAAACAATCACAATTATAATAATTCAAATTTATACAAAATAAATATTTTGCTCTGATTATTTATAAAAAGGTAGAAAATCAGGTGAATGAAGGTGAATCTACTTACATGCATTTATATATAACCCACACATTCTTTGTATTCCTTTGTACGGTTCCTTGGAAATGTATTTGTAAATAGATATTAAGCATTCCATGATTTTAAGACACAGCTCCTGGAATATAAGAAAAAAGTACAAGTCTATGTAGATTTTTGTGGCATATAAAAGTTCAGGCACAATAATTAGTAGTAGGTAAGCAATAAGAAGAAGAACTTTGCCAGATTAATTTTCAATTCACTTTTCAATTTAAAAAATTACATTTTCTTAAAATTTCTAATTGAAATTTCTTAAAAAGAAAAAAACACTCAACTCCACCTGAAAACATGCAAGAACAACACATACTTTAAAATGAGCTTAATGAGTTGCCTACTCAAGGCATAATTAAAATACCCTGTAATGACAATGACTTGAGTTATGAACAACATAAAGATTTCTTTGAGGGGGATATGTGTTCAAAAATGCTGCTGCTAGACATGAAGCTAATTTTTGCTAATATTTTGCTGTATTGAGTGGGACTTTAGCCAAGAGTTTTATATTAGAGTTCAAGACAATGCGTAAGACAATTAATTGAATATTTATAAAAATGTTCTGGGCCCTAGGCAAAAAAGTATTTTAAGATATTAGAATTTGTTAGATGTTATATTTTGCTTCTTCGGTTTATAATAACTTAATTTGGAGAATAGTTATTTGTACAAAGGGGACTCAAAAAAAGGGCTTTAATCAACGAAGCGTTCTTATTTGCGAGCGACTGTTGTATTCCATTTTTAATTTTTAAAGGGTATCCTTGTTGTCGACTTGGTCAGTATAAGTGCTTGTCTTTAGCTTATAGTTTTAAAAAAAAAAGTTAGCTTAATCAATTTATAGTCAACAACATTTTCAAGCAGCACAATACGCTGCCCTTCCACTACAGCAAGCCCCCCTTCAAGCCGGCTAACCGATGAAGCACATGTGACGTAGGGAAAACGTCGGCATAATCGGATTATGATTATGTCTATGCGGAAATTATAAGCTACGAGCGCTGTTCCATAGACAATCTACCATTTGGCGACGTCGCCAAGTGCAGTGTAGAGCGCCAATTAATTGAAAATACGGCAAAGCAGCCGATTCCAGTAGATGGAGATTGATGCAGTGAATGCCAAAAGTGAATCCGAATTGCGAATTATGTACAAATCGTGTGCAGGGTATGCGACAGGCAAAAACAATACACAAAACAAAACAACAACAACAGTTAAAGAATTTCTCCGTAGGATGCCAGTTGTGGGATTTGAGCGCTGTGGCATTTGACTGATGAGCTGGCGACGTGAGAGCCACCAGAGTTGGCTTCGTTCTGGGCGCTTCGGGCGCCATTTTCACTACTAAACTAAATTTTCCACATCGTTAATTTATATTAATATGATTTCTGTGTCAACGGTCGACGCGCTGCCAGCCGCCCATGTCTGAGCCAACGTACTCGTCACCCGTCGCGTGTAGAGTATATATACATATATAGAGTATATATGTATATATATATATGTATATATAGAGTATATATGTGTGTGACCAGGAGCGACACCCATGGAGGTCGCCGCGACGCCGTCGCAATGTTTATCTAAATTGTTATTTTTCACACTCACGCAGTTCAATGAATTTGTGAAAATTACGTTTGGGACTTTGTGTTTGCTCATCGACGTCGCCGTCGCCGTCGTCGTCGCCGTCGTCGTCGCTGGTCGCTTCCTGGCTCAGAATCTTAGGGGTTGGGCTGGTACACGCTCTAGACTGTGACTTAAAGCGTGTATTGGCATCAAATTCAATTTGCGTCCATTGTGTTAATCCTGTTATTAGCACGCGCACACAGAATCCTTTACTTAGCCACAGCCGACTGTCAACAGCCTAACGAAATTTTCTTTTCAAGTGCTTGAAAAGCGTCTAAATAAATATAACCCGAAAGCACATTTTTCGCCTACTCGCGTAGGTTTTTACGACATGTCGCAAAAAAAAAATTAAAAGAATAAAAAATGACGAATGGTCGTGCTATAAAGTTTAGGTGGGTTTTTATGCTGAAGATGAGAGGGGAAATAGTCAAGAGTGCGCGGAAAACCCTAACATAAAATTGCCTTAAATTCTTAACTTTTATTGATTCTTGTATATATGCTTTCTATTTATTGAAAATTGTCTGGATACGTTAAGTCCTTTCAATTAATCAAATAGTCGCGAAAATCTCTACAAACTTTCGCACTATTTTCACTTTGCCTTTACATTTAATCAGAATTTTCTTGACTTCAAGCTTTAAACAACTTTTCCATAAAGACGCGTTCCCTAATGTTTAAAAATTGTTAAAGAAATTAGTAGCAGCGTTTGGAACATTAGAGAATATATATTTTAATACTGAAAGTTAGATCGTATAGATATAGATATAGGAATAGTTGTTCGATCCGGCCCATTCCGACATATGTATTGCCTGAAACAGAAAGACGTATCTATGTAAACTTTCAAGACAATAGCTTTGCATGTAAACAGACGGACGGACATGACAACATCAACTCGGCTGTTAATGCTTATTCAGAATATATATACTTTGCGGAGTCTAAAATATATTTAAAGTGAAAACTCCAGATCCAAAGTTTATGTAGAAGTTGTATATAAAATTAAATAAATTAAAATAATTCATAAAATATTCAAGTTAAAAATGAAAGATTAAGGCTGCAAACAACTATAATTCTCTACCATTAAGAGTCAGTGGAATCGAGTGGAATCATTTAATTACATTTTTAATTGGAAACAAGTAATAAAAAATATTAAATTAAAAAAGTATATATATTTATTTTTACTATTAGATACCCCGCTGTGCTTATCCATTAGCATTTTGCAGTGTCTAATAATAGTACACGAAAATAATGTTTAACCCAACTTGACTGCCAATGCACGGACTATGGACGGCGGGCCAATCCAATCAGCATTTGCGACTACGTCCAATTTAACCCTTATTTATATATACATATATTTATATATATATGTATATAAAAGAAAAGAACTGAGCTAAGTTTCCCATTTGCGATGCGTAAAGTTTTCAATTTAATTGAAATTGGCCCGCATTGGGCCAAAAGCGTGGTGTTGCCCGTTTATTCATGTTGTTTACATATTATTTAAGTTTATTTTTATGGAGCGGCTAAAAAGGTGCAAATGAGAGTGTATGTGTGTGTGCGGGTTGAGATAAGCAATAGGACGTGTTGTATGCGTTGTGGTGCGATAAGATAAGCAAAAAATCAAACAGTTGGCTTTTATTTGTGGGGGCAAGAGGGGTTGCTTGGTTTGTTTCCAAGCGCATACAAATCGTGTGTAATGGAAATTAGTTTTGTGCAATTTCATTTCATTTCATTTTTTTTTTTCATTTTTGCAAATAAATTGAATTCGCTGGCAAAAAGCTAGCTCTACTTCTCGCTCTCCCTCTCGCTCTCTCGCTCTCCTTCTCTCGCTCTCTCTCTCAGCGCCATTTGGCGCTGTTGTAATTAGAGGATCTAAGTCTGTTGCCTCATGTGGCGCTAAACCAATTTGCGCTGCGTAATTATATAAGTTCGTTTCGTGTCTTTGAGATACATTTAGTTGTATTGTCCTCTGCACTTCCGTCATATTTTTGTGGTAATAAAATTTACACTAATGGACACGCATAATACATTTAGTCCAGCCTCTGACTCATAGTTGCCCACTGCAGAGCCATTAACAATTCCGTAAAGCCGCAGAGTGGCAGAGAGTGGCGCACACAGTGGCTCATGTGAGTATACGCACGCCCAAAATGCAAATCGCTGATTTTAATGTCTCTCCCGCTCGCATTGTCTCATTAACATGCCAAGGGTTAACTTGATGTCTCGTTCTGATTATGACATTGTTAAATGTTATGAAAAGAGTCTCATGTTTAAAACACCCACTGCACCCCCTGCAGCCCCTGCTCGACTCGTATTTCTCTTTAGCACCCGCTCACACCGACACCCACATCCGCACACATTGATTCCTTCTATCGCCGACTGCTTGGCGTCGCTGCTGACTTGCAAATTAAGTCCGCCGAGGTTTGCCCAATGGCATCCATTTACTGGCACCGCCAACCGCTTCAGCGCTGACGTTTTGACTTTTAATTGTGTTTTAAAGTGTTCAGCGAGGGGTGAGTGCTGTATGCGGGTGGCAGGGGAAGGGGATTGTGCCCTGATACGCTTACAGGCCATTTGGCTGTTGATTTAGCTCGGCTGTTTGGTCATTTGATGCCTAATTAAATTTAACGATGACGTTGATTTCTCTTCAACACTGCCCCACTGGGTTAAAGACGCGCGGGGTCAGCTTTACAGCAAAGGTTTTATTTTACATTCCGGAGCAGCAGAGCAATCGAATGTGCTCCCAATGGGCTACTGCCAAATGCGTGTACAGTGAGTACTACTGAATATGAGCGAGAACTGTGACAACACCCTCAACGACCATTTCTTGTTGCGGATGACATTCGAGATTAGATATAA